CTTTAAACTACAGCTTTTAGAATTTTAGGAGCTGCAGTCCTGCAAAAATCAAGTTTTTGTATAGCATCCCAGAGACTTGATGTTTGAAGGCATAATCACTCTTAAAAATCCATTAATACCAGGGCTTTCTTTAATTTAACCTTATGGTATTAACTACAAGTACACTTTTATTGTTACTTCCAGTTTTTGCAGAGAATCATGAGGGCTGTAACTTTTTCCTAAGCGATAATGGAAAAGTTGACCTATATTGTAGTTCATCTGCAAAGGCTTCATTCAGAAAGTACAAGCTTTTTTTTTTTTTTAAATGGTGTAGCACACTGATTTCTTTTTCTTATTTTATTTTGGGATGACTTGCATCTTCTTAGTTAAAGAAAGAGAAGGCCTTGAGACCCAAGACTATCCTTTGTTAAGGATAGAACCTTATTCTTTACAGCCTCTTAGGATAGATGTTATTTGGGGATTATAACATTTGTTGCTCTTCCAGTAGTTCATTTGACAAATTTATGCATTTATAATTGTTTTTCTCTGATATGCTGAAAAGTCGTCTCTGAGATTTGTATCTAAACAACTGTTGAGCAAAGAAATATGTTAGAGCATGAAACCTTAATTGTGCATTTCCAGATATAAATATTTGTATATCTATTTAGTAGAGGGATGGATAGTGAGTATTTTAGTTTCTTACTCTCCCAGGCTATACCATCTGTCAGTTGTCAGTCTGTTTATTGCCTGAAGCTTAGTAGTGCATTATACTGAGGAGCATCAGCAGGCTAGTACAGTACTATTGCAGTTGTGACTGTTCCTGTGCTGGTGTCACCTAGCTGTGTCATATGAATGTTCTATCTCTGTTTATTGCAGCATGGACTTGGAGTAGCAAAAACCTATTCAAAGTCAACTCAGTTGTTGGGGTGTATCTCTTTTCCCATAAACTGAGAACACGAGTCCAGACTGTCATGTATCAACGAAAATAGCAGAGTTATGGGAAGAGACCGAGAACCTGGAGTATAATTTGCTCACAGCTGAAGTGGATATCTCACTTGAAAGACTCTGATGTTGCACTAGGTAAAGAATAATAGCTTTTGAATGTACAGGAAGCAGAGAATGTGGATTTTATCAGTACTCCCTACTCTGTCAATGTGAAGATGAAAAAGTGAAATAGACATACAGTCAGTCATCACAAGAAATGAGCTTTTCATTTCTTACTCATCTTTTTTAGCCTGCTCTCTGAAGAAACAAGACTTAAACACACTCTGCTTTGTCATCTATTCCCCAGTTACTTTTGAACTTCTTAGCCATTTTGAACAAGATTGATTGCGAGTTCCTGGATATAGGCATTTGCTCAGAGAAGAGAGATGCCGTTAATCTGTTGTTGAGGAAGTGTTGCAGGCTGAGCTCACCACTTACTGCATACAGAAGAATCAATATAGGATATAAGATATATAAGATTCAGGAAAAAGCACTGGTCAGAGTCTGTTTACCAGGAGACCGAGCTTCATTAGCTGCTGTGGTTGTTTGATGTTGATCACAGAAGGTGTTGATCAGTGCAAAACTTGTCATTAAAGTGTATGAAAATTATCAGGCATTCTGTGGTGTTTTGCCTCAGCAGACAGGAACACTGCATATATATCTTCTGGTTTTGGGAATACTGGTAGTGGGGCTGCTTGTCAGAAATTCTGCAAAAGCTTTGAAAATATGTAGGTTCCCCCAAAGTGCAGTGGATTTGAGCACTCTAGAATTGTATTTATACCTTAGCAGCAATACATCAATAGATTTGTTTGACCAAGGACTGGAGATTTTAGTGGAAACCTTTTTTTAATAAATTACTTTGTATTTCTTTTTCTTCTTAGAAAAGCAGTACTGATGAATGTAATCTTAAACACGATTTCTGAAGAGATTACTGCTTCAGGACCGTAAAGCTTTGTTTTGGAGGAAAAAGGTAAAGGATGCTTGGGGAGAAAGTGAGACTTAAATAGGAGTCCAGAAAGGGTGGCAGCAAGACTGTAAAAAGGCAGAGTGGTGGGGTACAGGAGCCTTTTGCAGACCTACATCTTTTTTTTTTTTTTTTTTTCTTTTAAAAAAAAAGAACAGAAAGAGGACATAAGCTTAGCATTCCATGGAGAGTTGAGTTAAGAGCATATGCTCATTATGACCACTGCATCTCCAGAAACATCATGGATTTAAAACTTTCAGCTGTGACAGATCTTGCAGAACATGAAGAATTAAAATTTTCTGCTTTTGGAGTCAAATACCTGATTATAACAGGGAAGAATTTTGATGTGAAACTCTGTTAAACAAGCTAGAGCTAACTCTTCTTGGAAGATTCTGAGCATCACAGGATTTGGTTTCCTGCCATATTGCATATCAAAAGCTTTGCAGCGTGTACTTTAGTCCAGAAAGTTCTAAACCTAGATAATTATGTTGAAGCAACCAACAATTCTTTTTTTATATCTAATATGAAATGATTATAAAGGCAACTATTCATACTGTTGATGTCTTCTTTATTCTACTTTATCCATATGGAATACTGCTTCACTGAAGATTTAGACACAGGAAACCAATTTGCTAAGCAATTATTGTGGTTTACTAGTCCAAAGGAGGCTGATCAGGTTTGTATCTTCTAGTGGTGTGATGTGTTTCATTTTTACAGATAGAAAAGCTTTCCACCTGAGTGACTTTTCAGAGACCGCAATTCAGTTTTCATTTTGGAGACCACAATGAAAAATACTCTGTGTCACTGCTAATATGTCTGTGGGAGAACTTGAAGTTCTGCAAATATTCTGAGTATGTAGTTCTCCCTCAAGAACCAGTGGATCCAGGCACTCCATCAGTGTGCTTTGTCACTGAGATATGAGAATAAATTCTGGATTTGCTCAGCCCATTGTTTGGCCTTTTGTTTTAATTTTAAACAGCTGATGAATTTTATACAGTTTCCATATATGTGTAGTTAACCCGAACAATAGTTATACTGTATTTGTGGAGTCAAGTAGTGAAGTCTTTCAAAGGAGCATGGAAAGCATGGATATTCTTAATTATGTACATAGTATAAAGTACAAGTCAGTATCACTTCAGGATATAAATTCATGGGGTACTCTTATTGCTATTGGATTTGCAGTCCTGTTCCAATGTTTATGTTGTCAGATTCCACAATCATGGAAATGCCGCACCGCAGCATGTTTCCAGCAAGTTTTGAGTGACCAGGAACAAAAATGTTTGGATGCTATGAAAGTGAAAGATGATGTTTCTTGGAAATAACTTGCAACAAAATCTGACAGATATCTGAAATGTGCACTGTCTAAAGAAAAACAGGCACCTCAAAAGATGAAGTTTGACATATTGAAATATTTTACACCAAACCCAGCAGTTTCTTTGTTGCCACAAAACTTCATACTTTTGAATCTCCTTTGTCAATAGAGCAAATACCACCAATGCTGCTGCTGTTCATGAATCACACTTGAAAAGGATAAATAATTTGGATTCTGAGTATTTTTGAAAAGGGAAATGGAGTTTACAGTATCCTCTCTAAACCTATCAAAAGTAACTTTTTGTAATCCAGATGTCACTGATTGTGACTAACCTGACAGCAGGGCTTTTTGTAGAATCTTATTGGCTTCCAAGTCTGCATCTGTTTTTGAACTGATGGTTTTGTTTGGAAGAGTAACGCTTCCTGTTTAAAAAGACATCTGGATACCAGGCAAATTTCCATATGGCAAAACTACCCACATTATTTTTGGTGGTACTGACAGAATTGGCTATGTTTCCTTTTCTTGCCTGCTTTCAAGCAGTTTGGAGGGCAGCTTAACAAAGATATGGGAAGAGAGGATGCAGAAGTCTTATGACTTTAAGTTAATCAAAGCCCAGTTAGTATATGGGTTTCAGTCACATGATTATCTCTGTACAGTGATAACTGGACAGATGGAAGACTTCAGTTTCTTCCAGCCCTGGGAGGGGCAATCATTTGTTCAGGGATCAGTAAGGAAAGGGACTAAGTGTTACTTTCTTTCCTGGAACCTTTTGAACAAAGCAGACAAGCTCAGAAAAATCTCACTATTTTAAGCAAGCATTATACAATGAGGAAATGTTGACATACATGTTAGGCAGTGTTCCTTGGCCATGGCAAAAAACCAGTGGATTGTTGCTAAAATGAGGCAGCTTATGTAGGAGGGGTAGTTCTGTGTATGAACCTTATTAAAACCATTTCTGGGCTGTATTGGTGAAATTATTTTGGCACAAAGAATGAGTGGTTAATTTTTTTTTTGCATAGCTTGTGGATTTTTTTCTTGCATTACAGGAATGTGCAGAAAGCTATAGAAATGTTTTCAGTAATTCTTCTACAAAGACATAAAGTAGGTAATGAAAAGTGCAATTAAGAGTCTGTTAGAGGTGCCTAGTTGCAGGATTTGGCAACCTTTATGTAGCATCATGAGTGAAGCAAGCTTCATTTGATGTTTCTGTACAGCATGGTGTCAAGAGGAAGAATGAAATCTGAAGATAAGCTGCATTTATGTGACTGCCAAGTTACTACATGTGACTACGAGTCCTTCCTCCTCTGAAGGCACAAATATCCTGTGTTCTGCATTGGATTCAGCAATTAAATATATCCTGATCAGCATTTTGGCTTTCTGATACAAGATAAACTAACTTTTTTAGCATGCCACTCTATGATCAGTGTGTGCCAAGCAAGCATTCTGATGTGTATATATGATTTTGGGGTGCTACTTTGTTCAGAGAAAGGAAACTTGGAAGTTCTTTTCCAAATTCAGACTAGAATAGAAGATAATTCTGAAATTTTAATCATATACATGCTGTGAATGAGCACTACTCCAGCGGCCTTATCACCTCTCTCTGGGGCTTTCCCCCATGTAACAGAATATAGAGTCTCTGTTAATTTCACCTCAGGAATTCAAAAGGAATCTACTGGGCTGAGTCCAGTGCAGCTGTGTTGTCTCTGAGTAACTGAAATGACAACATCTGAAACTGTCCTTAATTTTGAAATTTAGTTATTTTCTTTCTAACAGTCAGTAAGAATGTGATTGCATTACGAATACTTGTATAGACCTAAGATATGTTTTCAGGACCACTTCATCGAATATTGAAAGGAGAGGATTATTTGTTTAATTAGGTAACTAGTCTCTAAAAAGTATCCTTACTGAATAAAAATCATTACTTGGAAGGGATTGCTTGAGGTTATCTAATCTTCCTGGTTGAAACAGGACTACTGCTAATGCTAGATCATCGCTTCCCTATCAAAGTTTTGAAAATCCCCAAGGCCAGAGAGTTTGCAAGCTATGTGTAAACCAATCTGTTGTTGCTCCCCTGTCTTAAAGGAGAACTGTCCTATCATCTAATTGCAGCTCATTAGCAAATGTTTCTGGCTACTATTGTTTTCTTATGCTGTCAGGCACTGCCCCAAATTATTTGACTCATCTTTATAACTGCCCTTCTGCCTTGGGCCGCTACTAGATCACCCCTTAACCTCCACTTCTCCAGAATAGGCAAGCCCAGCTCCCATAGTATCCTCATAGCCAAACTGAGGACATACAGTCTAGACAGGTGGACTACAGGATGAGTAAAAGGTGGTTGCGCTGTCAGGCTCAAAGGGCAGATGTCAGTGGTTTTAAGTGTGTTGGCCAGTTACTGGTGGTGTTCCTCAGTGGTTGATTCTGAGGCCGGCACTGTTTAATATCTTCATTAATGACCTGGATAATGTGGTGGAGCATACAACTGTCAAGTTTGCAGGGGGCATCAATTTAGAGAGAACGCATTATACGTGGTATAGGACAAGAATCCTGAAGTTCACTACAGACAAATGTGAAGTACTCTGTTTGGGATTGAGCAACCATCTGCTGGATGCAGGCTGGATACTGATGGGCTAGGGAGCAAATCCTCAGTTAGTAACCTGCAGATTTTGATGTACAATAATATGAATATGAATCGGCAATTTGCACTTGCTGTAGCTAGCATCATACTAGGCTGCACTAGTGTGAGCATAGCCAGTAGGTTGAAGGCTTTTTCCTTTCTGCTCAGGACTTAAAAGGCTGCTTCTGAAATACCATCCTGCATACATATGAGATTTGGATGAGGAAAGAGTCAGCAGAGGACTCACCAGCTAGAAATATCATGAGGAGACTGGAGCATATGATGTGGAAAGTAGCTGGGGGAAACAGTGTTTAATTAACCTGGAGAAGGCAGTGACCAAGGAAGGGATCTAATTGTTGTCTTCTACTACTTAAAGGATGGCTACAGAGAAGGAGCTACACTTCTTGAAGGTACTCATGGAAAAGACAAGAGGCAACATTCACAGGTTACAATAAAAGCAATTGATTAAACATATGGGAAAAAAAAACATTTGCATAATGAGTGGCCTAGCACTTGAACTGCCTGCCTGGAGAGGTGGGAAATCGCTGTTCTTAAAGACTTACAAAACTGAACTCGACAAAAGGGCATGAACAGCCTGATCAAATATTGAAGCTAGTCTCTGTCAAAGTTAGCAGAACTTTAGTAGTTAGATTGAGTAGGGCAAGGAGTTCAACCACTGATGACCTCTGACCTCCTTGTCTCCACTCATCTCCTTTTAAAACAGGGAGAAGTTTGGAGATTTACTAGAAAGACAGCACAAATTATATAATTCGAGGAAAATGATTCTGATTTTCATTGTTTTTTTTATGGTTAGTTGTCTGATTTCTGTTGGGTGTTCTACCTACCACCTTTATAGTACTTTTCTCTTACTTCTCAGGCTGGACTAGATGACCTCGAGAGGTCCCTTCCAACCTAAACTCTGTAATAATTCTGTGATTCTAGGTGTGGATGTCCCTTTCATCCCACATTTGCATCCTTCTTTGTTCATTGGATCTCTTCTGTGAACTAATGGTAGTCTGTTTCTCTCCTGACACTTGGAATTTTGAGACCTATAGTGTAGCTTTTTGTTGCAACTGATCAGTGTTTGTGTATCAATCAGGTGACACTGAACAACAACACAAACATTTTAGCCACAGATTGTAGGGGCAAAGATGTCATTTGTCTTGAGAGTTATTTCTTGTCCTGTTGTTTATCCTGGAACACCTGTACTGATCACAGAATCACAGCATGGTTGAGGTTGGAATGGACCTCTGGAGGTCATCTAGTCCAACCTCCCTGCTCAAGCAGGGTCCTCTAGAGCAGATTGCCCAGGATTGCGTCCAGGGGGGTTTTGAATATCTCCAGCGAAGGAGACTCCACTACCTCGCTGGGCAACCTCTTCCAGGGCTCCGTCACCCTCACAGTGAAGAAGTTTTTTCTCAGGTTTAGATGGAACTTCCTGTGGTTCAGTTTGTGCCCGTTGCCTCTTGTCCTGTCACTGGGCACCACAGAGAAGAGGCTGGCCTCATCCTCTTGACACTCCCCCTTCAGATACTTGTACACATTTATGAGATCGCTTCTCAGTCTTCTCTTCTCCAGACTGAACAGGCCCAGCTCTTGCAGTCTTTCTTCATAGGAGAGGTGCTCCAGCCCTCTAATCATCTTTGCAGCCCTCCGCTGGACTCGCTCCAGGAGCTCCATGTCTCTCTTGTACTGGGGAGCCCAGAACTGGACACAGCACTCCAGATGTGGCCCCCCCAGGGCTGAGGAGAGGGGCAGGATCACCTCCCTCCACCTGCTGGCAACACTCTGCCTCATGCACCCCCAGCATACCATTGGCCCTCCTGGCCACAAGGGCACACTGCTGCCTCATGCTTAACTTGTTGTCCACCAGCACTCCCAGGTCCTTCTCTGCAGAGCTGCTTTCCAGCACATCAACCCCCAACCTGTACTGGTGCATGGGGTTCTTCCTCCTGAGGTGCAGGTGCCTTTGTTGAACTTCAGGAGGTTCCTCTCCGCCCAGCTCTCCAGCCTGTCCAGGACCCTCTGAATGGCAGCACAGCCTTGTGGTGTGTCGGCCACTCCCCCCAGTTTTGGATCATCAGCACACTTGCTGAGGGTGCACTCTGAGCCTTCCTCCAGGTCATTGAGGAATGCATTGAACAAGACTGGAGCCAGGACTGACCCCTGGGCAACACTGCTAGCCACAGGCCTCCAGCTAGACCCTGTGCCATTCACCACAACCCTCTGAGCTCTGCCACCTAGCCAGTTCTCAATCCACCTCACTGTCCACTCACCTAACCCACCCTTCCTGCGCTTACCTAGGAGGATGTGATGGGAGACAGTGTCCAAAGCCTTGCGGAAGTCCAGGGAGACAACATGCACTGCTCTGCCCTCATCTACCCAGCCAGTCATCCCATCACAGAA